CACTTTTTGGTATATATTTATGATAGAAGTTAACTTTTCCTAGAATCCGAAGCAAAAGTACATTTTGTGAATTTAAGTCTGAATCCCTCCTTTTTAATAGCTTCTAATAATTGTGTTAGATGGTTCATGTGGTCCGAAAAGCTCTTAGAAAATACTAAAATGTCATCAATGTAATTGACCGCAAAATTATTGAGCTTGTGCTTTTTCAGAATGTTACTTAGTATTCTTTGAAAAATAGCTGGTGATGTCTTTAAGCCGAAGGGTAAACACGTCCACTGGTAATGTCCTTCTTGAGTTACAAAGGCAGATTTCTTCCTATCTTCAATTCTTAGCGGGATAGACCAAAACGCTGAATTTATATCTAGTGTTGTAAAATAATTTGAGTTTCTTGTCTTAATCACTAGATCTTCGATCAATGGAAATGGTTGAGCTTGAGGTATTACTATTTTATTTAAATCTCTAAAATCTATGCATAGTCTTGAATTTTTGTTGTCTTCTCGTTTGAAAGCCAAGGTTACAGGAGCCGCAAAAGGACTATATGATTCTTCTATTAGCTTTCTGTCAAGTAATTTTGCAATTTGTTCTTCTATTTCCTTTTTGTCGATTGAACATCTATAAGGCCTTTTACAACAATATTTATCCATGAGTAGATCAATTCGTGCTTCGTATTGTCTAACCGTGCCAATATCATAAATATGAATATGATCTTTTGCGAAAATTGATCTGTAAGTATCTATCAGATTGCATATTTCTGACTTTTGCTGAGTATTCAAATTACTCATACTTATTTTAAAGTTTTCTGTTATATGTTCATTAAAATTTATTGGACACATATTTTTTTCTTCCTTAGAAGTATTATTTTCACTACCATCCTCAGTCTTACTTTCTTTTTCTTCTTTTGTTTTTAGATTTTCTTTTTTTTGAGTGATTTTGCAATTCTCATTTTAAATCAGTCTGAATTATTTTATTATATCCAGTCCAATTATAAAATCATATTTAAATTCTTCTCCATCAATTATGTATACATCAGCTTTTTCTTCAATATCAAACATTTTTATTTTGATAGTTGTCAAACCAATCGTATTTTTTACACCATTAATTGTTATTAAATTGTCACATTTTAAATTATATTAATGTTCTTCTTTTATTTTTATTAATTTAGAATTTATTATGGAAACGTTTGAACCTGAATCATATATTCCAAATATTTCTAATTGTGAATTTAATAATAGTTTGACTTTAATTAATGGTGTTATTCGTTTTTTCTCTCATTATTATTGATTTCAGCATCAATCACTGAATTGTTTACTGTCTTACTATTCTTTCCTTTATAGGCATATTCTTCTGTCTTTTTGAACCAGCACTTTTCTTCAGGGTGGAACCGAATACCTTTGTTTAAATTTGCGCAAGTTTTACATGGTTTTATTTTATCAGATTTTGCTTTAGTCTCATAAGCATTTCTTTTATTTATACTGATTTTTCTTTTGTTTACTACATATTCATGTTTTCCGATTTCATTGTAGAGGTTTGCAGTTGATTTTACACTATTTTTATCGATTTTGTCCATAACGTAACCTGGTAACCCCATTTACAATAAGATTTATCATTGTTTGGAAGTCTATGTATTTATTAAGTTCTAGTAACAATCTTTCCTTTTTTGTGGCATATTCCAGTAACGAACCAGCTTGAAATTTAAATGTAAATGCATATTTGACTTTGGACCAACCTTTATCTTTATCCATATGTTTCACAAAAGTTGTTCTTCCATATTAACCATTCGGAATTTACCGAAAATTTTATTAACATACTGCTATACCAATCTAAGCATTGTTTTTCTATAAGATGTATTAAAATTTCAATTTTCTCAACATCCCGTTGAATATCAAATCTTTTACATTCATTCTCAAATTGACTTAGCCATTGTTCAGCATCTGATATTTTATTTGAAAAAAATCTATCAAAAATCTCTCAGCCGTTTTTGCTATATTTTTTGTTTTTTGGCACATCACTATTATAGTAATTGTGTGAGGGCATTGCTCTTTCTGAAATTTCATCTAAATACTGGTCACCAAATTGCAAATTTTCACATTCATCTAGATATATTTTTTTCAAATCTGGGCTTAAAGGTATCCATATTGTACGACTTTGATGCCTCTTTATAAGTGAATTTTTAATTTTTGTGAATATATCTAAAGAAATTATTGCAGTATGCTTACTTGTGGGCTTGAACTCATCAGGAACCTCAAAAATACGTCCGTCTGGTGTCTCAATTGAGGTTATGCTTATTACATTTGTGTTTCAATCCGCTGATCCCATTACTACAAACTTAAATCGCAGTTTTTCCATTTTTATTGTTTTTAACTAGAAATGTCGTTTTATAAGACAATATCTTTTAATGGAAATTGTAAAAGTAATTAAACCAATGTGTTGCTCTGAAAACAAAGATTTTATTTAAGTATGTATGTAGGTTAAAACATTTATTATTCATTACACATTTTACTAGCTACTATAAATCATACTAACTTACCTGAAAACAAAGAAACGACGAAAAACGAAGACGAAGAAAACTCTTTTACTTAATACAACAATTCCTTCCTTTACAATAATATTTTAAAATAATCAAATAAAAATATCACGGCTCGTTCTGTCAAAGCAACACCATCTGTCAAGTGACAGTTTTATTATTATGGCCGCCCGAGAGCTATACAAACTACTTAAGAAATAACAAATTAAAGAACTGACTGTAAAGAGGTTCTTTACATCTCTCCCCCCTTACAGAAGAAAATTTTTAGAAAATTTTCTCTTACTTATATCTACTCAAATCTTATCTCAATCAATAGTTGTCCAAGCTTTATTATTATTTTTTCATTTATTTTACATCTGATTTTATTAACAAGCGTTTGATTGAGTCGTTCATTTAATCCGTTCGAAAAGGGGCGTTTACAGCAGTAAAGATCATTGGTATAGATTTTTCATTTAAAAATGATTTAAATTCTTTTGAGTTTATACCCGGGTTATCTGGCATCTGTTACTTTATTAATCAACTTAACAAAATCATTAGCACTTTGTGTTTTTAAATAAATCATACTAACTTACCTGAAAACAAAGAAACGACGAAAAACGAAGAAAAACGAAGACGAAGAAAACTCTTTTACTTAATACAACAATTCCTTCCTTTACAATAATATTTTAAAATAATCAAATAAAAATATCACGGCTCGTTCTGTCAAAGCGACACCATCTGTCAAGTGACAGTTTTAATATTATGGTCGCCCGAGAGCTATACAAACTACTTAAGAAATAACAAATTAAAGAACTGACTGTAAAGAGGTTCTTTACACATATATATTACATATTTAAAAATATTTTTTTTTACAGAAAAAAATTGCCATTTATTGAATAAAATATTTACTAATTATATAAAATTGTACTATTATTATTAAAATATAATATTATTATTCATGATTCAATGTTGGAGTCGCTGTCACATTCAACATCTCTATTATACTGCGGACTTTCACATTGCTCCAAATATTCACACTCCGAAATTTTCAGTTACTAAGTAGAAAAATATGATAAGTTTTTGGACCATAACTCCTTAAATTTTCATGCTATCACAATTTATGAAAAACAATTGTAAAGGTAATTAAGAGAGCTACAACATCCTTCGTTGCAATATATATTAAAAAACCTTTTTCTAAAACGGTGAAGGGTTAAAGCGTTTAAGAGAGGCTGTGATTGCGCTGCCACGCGCTCTTTAAACAATCATATCTCCGTCAATTTTATTTTGACAGAAAAAACAAAAAATCCAAATTGTCAGAAAAATACCAAAATTTTTAAATCGTACACTTTTATACGTATATGTCGTCATTTTTGAGATATTATGAAAAAAAGGTGGGTTTTTAAAAAAATAAATTTTGGATTTTCTTTTAATCGTGCCTTTTTTGAAAAATATGTGTCTTAAAGCAGCCAAACTGATACTATCTATCAAACTCTTCATAATAAAGTTAATTCTAGGCGGAATACGATTAATTTTAATTTTGGTGGAAATGGCACTGATGAAACCCATTGATTTAAAAGAAAAAAAATTAGATGCTCCCCTTATTTGCATTACAGCTCACTTATTTTATGTGCAAAAGACTTTTAATAGTGCTCATTTTAAAGCTTATTTCAAGCACTACAAAACCCTTTTGTATTAGAATGCATAAAATGCATCTGCTCGCCGCTAGATGGCATTGACCACATCGATTAAATTTCAGACAAAATAAAAAACGGCTTTGATCTTTAATATCTAGCTTAATATTGCACTTAGAATACTTTATAAAAACCAAATTTTTCATTGTTTTACCTGCTACAATTTTGTTTTTTATAAAATTTTCGATAAAACTTATATTTTTGGATATATTTGCAAAAACCGACCGATGAAAAACGGGAAAAATTTTCGAATTTTCAATTGCCAATAACTTGAAAAATATTGGATTTTTTGAAAAACTTTATAGATGATTTTTTGCTTAAAATTAGGCTTTCTATCGATATCCGAGGTTATTTTGAAAAAAAAAAAATCACCCCCGAGAAGGGGTGGCAACCACCCCCAGGGTGGTTGCGGAGTTCAAATCATTTTCACTTTTGAAGTTAAAGGTAAGATGAACCTAATTCCAAAATTGTATGCAATTCGGTTCACAGTAAAAAAAATCGGAGCAATAATGCTTCAATGACTGCACTACTGTGAAATTTCTTACGTCCGTTTTTCTCTACACCAAAAAAGAAGTCTTTAACGGATGCTACGGAAAATAAATCGATTCGAAAGAGTTATATCATGCTTCCTATTTGAATAAAGATTTATTGAACTGAATTGTTTTGAATATCCATCCATACTTTATGTTAAATGGAAAATTAACTCTGTCTGTCACGTTTTCATGCCTAAAATAAAATTTTAAAAATATATAAAATTGAATAGTTATGACCAAAGTGAAACATAATACTGCTTCTTTTATTTTCAGATGAAAAGATTCCTCTGGGAACTAGGAGTGCGAGCGTGAAGAACATACTTCATCTTTTAATTCCAACTAATTACTTTACTATAGCGAATTATATACTTGATTAAGTATATTGCTTTAATTATTCTTATTTTCTGTAAACACTATTTGTACATTGTGATACTTATATTTTACGTTATTAATTCCAATAATGAATAACTTGGTCAAAAGCTAATGAAGTCCCTATCTACGATTTATGTTGAAAAGTAAAATATACTGTTATTTTTTGTCAATCTATATAATTGCATACTTTAAACTTTCTCTTATACATTTTTTCCTTCACCTCGATCGACCATCAATACTCGTCTTATATCTTGCTACTTAAACAAATAGTTGTGGAGTTCGTTTGACAAAATGTTAGAATGTGATGTGAGGAGTAGGGCTATACGCTGCTAGATTTCTTTTGCGACTTCCTCGTCTATAATAAACTGTTTTGATAATATTTTTATAGCTAACAATATCGCTTAACGAAAAATATTATTTAGGCTTTATTAGCCGGCTCCAGACCAACCGAACACGGCTCGCGAGCCACGCTCGGGCTTCCTGCTCGCAAGCCATGGCACCAGAGACAAATTTGAAAAGTTGCTAGCGTGCCTCGCGAGACAAGGTGAGTCGGTTTGAGCATTAAATTTTTCTCCGTATAACGATGGCAAACCACGTGTCATTAGCTTATGTTGTCTGGATATATAGTAAAAAAGAAAAAAACGAAAACTCTGGATTAAAAAAAATCTCCAGCAATCTTCTAGTTTACTTTTATTTAAATGATGGAATCCCACAACATTTCAAAACTTTCGTAAAGTTGTATCCATTTTTAATTTACTGGCTCGCAAGTGTCTTTACGTCATTCCACACTGCGCGATCTGCTCAGACTGAGGCACCTTTGAGTATCGGCAAAAACTGACAAATTATGGCTCGCAACGTGTGCCCGTGGCAGCCCGATCCGCGTCCAAACAGGCCGAGACAGCCTCGCGAGTCAATTCCTGCCGTGCTCGGTCGGTCTGGACGCGGCTATTGAGGTGTTTTAATTGACTAAGTACATATTTTATCTAAAAAGCGTTTATTATAATCTATGTATAATTTATATCGATGCCCTAATGTCTAAACACTATGTAAATAAGTTGAATCCTGTTAAAATTATTACATTCTATTTTACTAAAATGTAAGTGTTATAATATTGATACCCTTTTATTGTAAAAAAAACAGTTCCTCTATAGAAGAGAAATTGTGTCATTGTAGTTATTTATATGAAAGTATATTTAGATGTCTTACAACCTTAGTTATTTATGAAATATATCAATTTCTCTTCTTACGGGGGGCAATAGGCCTATCATATAGGTCCCTAGTAATTATTATTTTAGGACATGACATTATTTTATTACACATTCTTATTATTGTTTTATTATCCAAGGGATTATTTTAACATCCAGGTTTGCTTAGCAAGCAAATATTTCGTATGTATCCTCATCAAAGTGTTTTATGGTTCTTTTTGTTTAGTTTTAACGTGCGAACGTCACCTATTAATTATATTGATAATAAATAAATGGACCCACTAACAACCTTGAGGTATCATCGAATCTATTAGAAAATTACATTTCAAATCGTCAAAAGTCGTTTGGTTGGACTGCCTGCAAATAACTTATGTAATATTTAATTGTGTCGATGTAAATCTGATTTACTAAGAACCTTAAGTTAAAGCCTAGATATAAAATTAAAATTTATTTTTAATTTCAATGTGAAATCTATAATTATAATAAAATATATACCTACATACATCTTAGCTAAAGCTTGACTGTTGTTGATCTCAACTATGTGTTATTGTGTATATAATGTAATCACATGTTAAATTTCACAATCACTTGATATATCTACATATAGGAGTATCGGGCGGGCTTCAGTAAATTAGCAGTGCACCATCACGAAACAAGTAGGAATAGACTTGTGGTTCAAGTACTGTATTTAACAATAAATAATAACTATGTTAATATAATATAGAATATACTTATTAGTAATTGCAACAGATTCATAGCTAGGAGTAGCTTAAATTGTTTAAGACTATTGCACATAATAATATATACGTATAGTAATTTCTTAACAATAGACAATTAATAAAGATATTGATAATAATAAATCTGTGACATAAATATACCAGTATCGTAGGTAACGAATTTACTTTAAAGTCGTTTGTTCAATATATACCTTTATATAGATAGCAAAATCAGTTGTACAAATCTTTTTTTTATAGAATTCATAGTTGTTAAGTAACATGTAGCGTTTCCATTTCTTGTTTACCCTAGTATCCTATGAATCTGTTGGAACACGTCTCAAGCTTTGTACCCAAAACCGCAAAATGCGAGCGGTGGGCCTCGATAGTGACAATATAGAAAATCCACATGATAATTAATAATTTTTATAATCTTAAGAACAAACGAAGTACCCATGTGTATAATCGCTAGAATACTGAAATGAACGTATAAATAAATTTAAATCTACGATTTATAAAAACTCCGGTCAGCAGATAGAATATTATTAGCCGCGAAATTCGTTGTGAGTGTTTTAACTGGTATCCTTTAGTCAGATTAAAGTAGTTACAAGTTAAAACATTCAACAGATTAGAACTATTATAAATAAGTTGTTGAGACTAGCCTCGTAACTGCATATTTTAATGTTATTATAATTTTTAAGCAAGAGTTGATAAAAACATAAAAACCAAACTAAAATTGTCCAGCGAGCATGATTCATCTGTCTTGTGCAATCCTGGCTTGTTCCTTGAGTAGTCATTGGCTAGTTACCAGTATTATAACGTCCAGACATTGAGTATAGATACTCCAAGCGTCCAGGAAACGGAACATGAATTCATGAACACGCTGATTGCGTGTATAAATGGGGCATGTCACGATGTCAAAATGTAGAAAACTATTTCGTTACGACTGCTGCTTTTCTATATATAAGCCTGTTTAATTAAATGAAAATAATTTATAAGGTGTAACAACACCCAGTTACGGGGCGACCGCAACGAACAACATGCCTCGTGTTCTTCTATGCGTACTATTTGAAGTTAGTATTGACGTGTTGAACTGTTGTATCGAATGCTGTTTGTTAAACTTTGAAGTTCGCTGAATTAAGTGAGAGCGTAAAGAACATAACCAATACTGTCATATTAACGCAAAAATGCAGGGTTTTACCTTTCATAGCTCCATTGCCCAGTTATTGCACATAACTTGATAACATCCTAGATTTTGTTTTGTGGTGTTAATGTAGACCTAACATGTATATATCCTTAAAATTTACTATTTATATATCCTTAAAAATCATATCACTTATCACTTGAAAAAGTCATTGTCAGATTAATGTTGTGTTGAACATTATTTTAACTAAAATGTTTATATCCCAATTTTTTTGTTAACATTATTTAATTACTAGAGTTTATTGAAGTAATGAATTATGTAAACTATGAAGAATGTCTATAATACATAATTAAATAGATGTCGTTTTATTATTTCAAAATAACTCAAATACTTATATTTATAATTAAAATATGTTTTGTAATATGGATGACAACTAACTATTTTACTTCGTATATCAGGTAGATTATCGCATTTTATGTAACCCACAATGTCAAATGAAACACCTTTACAAGTATTAAATATTTAAAAGAAGAAATGGCAATTAAAGTAATATTTTTATTTTTTAAGCATTTAACTGCTAGATGTTTAAATCTAAAGAAAAGATTACTAGAAAAAAATCCACGCGGACCAGGCAGCAGACGGGATTAGAAACCGCACCCTTTGCTATCAGGGCTAATGCACTGACCATTATGCTACCGCAACCCTGACAGCCGTGTCGAATTTTCTCTAGCCTTAGGCTGCAAGGCAGCGCCATCTCTTTGCATTGTAGGTAACCCACAATTTCAAATGAAATACCTTTACAAGCATTAAACATTTGAAAAAAGAAATAGCAATTACAGTAATGTTTTTATTTTTTTTCTTTATGTAACAGATGGTATAAATAGAATTTTGTTTATGCTGTCATCATCCCTATTATCATGCTTTCCAATCGGAATTATTATTAAATTGAATATAGTGACACATATCAAAATCAAACATAAATCAAAATTCGAAAGTGTCACTAATAGAAAAGAGTATACACAACGGAGAAGGAAGAACATGCTTTTAGCTTAAAATCAAATTCATGTTTTTCAGCTGCACTTTTTATTGAACATATGGAAATTAAGATATTATAATCATATTGTGATGTTAACTTAACAAAATAAGGTATTTAATCTGATTACAATCATTTCATCAAATAACTTCAGTAAAACTAATTAAAACAAAATTTTATCTCAAATATGTACTTTTAGGATTGTAATTCTTTAATCAGTTTTCTTACCAAAATAATATTATCTAATAATTTATTTACAATACCATCACAGATGTTTGGCTATAATTACATTACTATTGTATCATTACAATTGCAAATCCAATATTTTACAATTGGAGTTTACACACCAACAAACCTGAAATATAAACATAAATAAAATCAACATAATGTATACCTACTAAAAACTTAACAATGTATTACGCTGAAATTGATTTTCTAAAAGCTTTTATTTTTAACATAAGCTTAGATGTGGTATCATTTAATATTGGATTGAATTTACTGTACATGAAAAATACCAGTAGGTGCATAAATCATAAGACAAAGTTTTATCAGTCTTATCAGAGGACAACTGTACTTAGTTTATTGTTGAAATTTTGCTTGTATATACATAATATTATGTAGTCCATTTCATTCAGGCATGGGAACATAGCATTGAAAATTTGTTAAAAACAAAAGTGCAAAACAATTTTTTATGTATGATGTTGGTCAGCTCAGCTAGAGGTGTCCTTTAAGGCTGCATTATTGGTTTCACATGTCTTAGGAAGGAGGATAAAATACTGTTATCTGGAGGCAGATGATTTACTACAGATAGTATTGTATTCTTTGAGCTAAGAAATACCTGATATGCACTCTCCTCTAGTTTGGGTGGTGTGTATCCCGAGTGTGCAAATTTGATGAAATGGCATCTCCAATGCTTCCCACACAGCCCTTAGGGCAAGAGGAGTCGGAGTCGCGTTTGCGCAGGTTAATAATTCATGAAGATGGGCACCGACATGCTTAGGCAAGCTAAATTAGAGGGATAGTAAAACAAAGTTAATATTACCTCAGGAACTATCATCATAATATCTTCTTTTCATTGCTCTATATTTCTTCAATTTGTACAAAGCTTCTATTTCTTTTGCTACAAAATCTCCATGTTTTAACATCGTTTTGATTTTTTCTGGATCTGTCTCTTCGCTGTTTTTAGTGAAAACTTTATGTAACCTCTTTCTGAACAAATCATATCCTTGTGGCCATTCTCTTCCAAGAAACAGCAACTATATAAATTGAACATTTTATAATTGCACGTAGGTAGTTATATCATAATAAATAAAATCTCTTTAGTTACCGTTTTATACAGATTCAATACAGCTTTCCGATATGGCTGTTCCATATTTGGAAATTTCAGTCTCCAAAACTAATAAATTATGCTTATTTTGACTTATTTTAAAAGAGATTTCATAATGACTTTTTATGAATATAACAAAGTTCATAGTCCAACTTCAAAACTTTTTTCTTGCAACTCTTTTAATATTGTAAACATGTAAAAAAAATATATGACAGTTAGTCAGGGTTGCCAGAAGTCATTTTTAATTTCCGCGAGTTTGAAAATGATTTTACAGCAAAATGATAAATATAATTATTTACTCGCGTCCGCGTTAACTTTTATTTTTTGAAAATTCCACATTAACCCGACATTGCACATAGAAAAAAGTATACCTACTATCTCTTAATCCTGGTCATAAACGACATGCGTATTATTCATCGGTGCGCTATTAGTAGGATTAATAAGATTCATCGATGAAATAAATTGAGCATGGTTTTGTTACTTACACTCCTATGCGTACGTAACTGACTATCATGTTATGTACCTAATATCTACCAACATTATGAAGGGCAAGATCGGTTCAAGTTCGGGACAACGGACGATTACAATTATGATGGTCATCATCATGGCATCCAGAATATCACTCAGAGACGGCAGCTCTGATATCAATTATGTCATGCAAAAAGGGTTTTACTGAAATGTTCATTAGATATCGTATCATATATTTCTGTTCCACGAAAATTCCACGGGACATATTATGTTACTTTAGTGGTAAGAGTATGTGAAGAAGCGCGGAAAAGGATACAGGAGTTTACTACAGTACAAATACTTAGTCCTAAAACATGAACAGGAGAATCATGCACATTATTACACGTGGATAAGTAACTGATGCATATGAACTACGATGTTACTCTCCAGTCCGTCCCCCCAGAAAATCACCAAAAGATAATGGGAAGAAACGTCATCACCCCCCCCCCCCCCCCCGTATAAATGCTAGAAGTGCCCTGCAGTTTCACCCGCATTAATTTGAGGAAATGGGATAATAGTAGATCACCCTTAAAAAACAGACATATTATGCTGTAGTCGTGGACTTTTTTATAAAACTTTTAGAGGAGAATAATTCCATCATACACGCAACAGAAGCTCTTAAATGGAATGTTTTTCCCGTATTTGCAATTTTTTGTTGTTGCTCTGCTCCTTTTGGTTATAAGTTTTTGTTATATAGCTTATAACCTTCCTTCATAAATGCACTTTCCAACACAAAAATGATTATTCAAATCGGACCAGTAGTCCAAGCCAGAGACAAATCCAAGCCAACCCAAGCAGTGAATAGCAATTCAGATCTATCAATACGCATGGCACCGACTTCAAATTATTTTTACTTTAAATGTAGATAAATATGAATTATTTCCTTTTTTTAGTGGTTTTGTTTGTTGAAGTTGGTTCTTATTTTTATTAAAAAAGTTAAAGGAATCTGGCCTGTTCTTACATATCTCTTAAAATAACTGAACACGAATGGAGTACTGTTTGTAATTTAGGAGTTTATTATTGTTTTCGAAAGTACTGATCAGATCTTCACCAAATTAACACGAGATCATTTCGCCAAAAAAAATGATTCCAACAAAAAAAAGGATCATCAAAATCGGTCTACTCATCTCGGCACGAACAACAATAAAAAAAATGTAATGACGAATTGAGAACCCCTTTCTTATTGAAGTCGGTTAAAAAACGAGCAATAAGTAAAACATTGTATTTTTAAGTCAAATTTTTTAAGAAGTTTTTTTTTAAACACTCCTATTAGCCTAGCCCCAAAGTAAGCACTGTAAGGCTTGTGTTATGGGATACTAGGGTAACGGATAGAATACGTATACTGTACATATATAAGTATATTTATATAGAAATACATATTAAACATCCAAGACCGGAGTACAAATGCTCGTGTTCATCACACAAACATCTGCCCCCACCGGGATTCGAACCTGGGACCTCTTGAGTCGGCGACACCATGAAACCCGGCGTACAAACCACTCGGCCACGAAGGTCGTCTTAATTAAACACATTTTTGGCGAAAAGTTTTTTATTAATTATAATTAAACCTCATCAATTTCCCAACTAAAGTGTTTTGTCTCTTTGAGTACAAATGATCAAATCCACACTCATTCCGTGTCTGTTGCAGAGCTAAAACTCCGCCAAAATCTCGCCAAGACTTAAATTTTCCCACAAAATTTCGGATTAAAACCCCAATCTGGCAGTACTGCAGTGAGTTGCCATGTCAATGCATGTCACCTTCGATTTTTTTAACAGTCTCCCTTTTTAGGAAAGGCAAAGGGCACAATGTCCATACAGTATATTCTAAAATTTTATTAATTTTCTTTATCTTAAATTAGGGTACGGCCAGAGTGCACTCAGATTCAGATTCAGACTCCGAAAACAAGCGCGAGAAATAAACAAACAGTGTAGTTAAAGCAGGGTGGCCATAGTGGCAGCAGGCAACCTGCTTAGACTACACTGTTTATTTCTCGCGCTTGTTTTCTGAGTCTGAATCTGAATCTGAGTGCACTCTGGCCGTACCCATAGACTGTCGGTGTAACGCAATCTGTTTCTTGGAGTATTAAGCACGAAATGAATCGAGTAAGCTTATTCGATAAGCTCCTGTGAGGTAGTCAACACTACAATAACTCTCACGTCCACTTGACCAAATAGCGTATTTTTTAAAGATTCCACTAATTCTTCAGTTACACTCAGCAAAGAAGAGAGACTAAAATTGTATAAACTTACATAAGTAATAGAACATAATATCTTAGGTTATAAATTTACAAATTAAGAACATTTAACATAACATCCAGAAGAAAACAAGGAGATAAAAAGAAATATATATATATCACAATTTAAAAAAAAATATTGACTTAACTTATTTATGTCACCTTCGACCGTAGATAGAGTAACCAATGGACTAAGTCACATTTGCATCTTTTTTACTCTGAAGCGAAATAGATTTATACGAAGAGCACATGTCAGAGAGAAAAGTAATTTTTGAAGTGATATTTCTTTTCGGACGGGCTACATATATACACATATATCTTTATATATATAATTCTTCTGTGAGGGTGTATGTCACTGAACTTCTCTTAAACGACTGGACCGATTTTGATGAAATTTTTTGTGTGTGTTCAAGGGGATCTGAGAATGGTTTAGATTCACAAAGACGTGTAGACAGGACAACGTCTGTCGGGTCCGCTAGTATAAATATATAATATGATATACATAGTCAGGTCATAAATTCTGTCACATGTTTAATATAAAATAATTGAAACAAGTTTATTCATTATGTAACCATTTATATACCAAAATGAACTTAACAAAACATAGATTCTTATGACAATAAAGTTTATTCAAAATAACCTCCGCGATTTTGAATACAGGCCTTTAATCTGTGCGGCCAGTCGTCTATCGCAGCACGAACGAGGTCCATGTCAATATCGGCGGCTGCCTTAATCAAGGATGTCTTGAGTGACTCCAAATTGGGTTGAGGCTTTGAGCACGCCACGCCACACGCAACCGGGGCGAAAGCCCCGGGGCTTCCACAAACGGGGGGCCCCCACAATAGGAATATAGGATGGGACAAAACCGTCTATCGAAGCTTTCTCTGCTGAGCATTGAAAGCGATTTACTCCGAGAACTCGATTTCAACGAAATCATCAACGATTTTTCGGCGAAAAAAGGTCGAAAGGTTCCGTTCGTTAACTCTAAGATTTAATTTTATATTTATATGTATTTGTTCAATACTAAGGGAATCTACTTGGTTCTCAATAAAATATTTATTGAAAAACTCGACTGAAAAAAAAATGTTTACTTTATTTGGAAAATACAAATTATTTTCCAAATAAAGTAAACAAATTTTTTTCAGTGAGGGGCCTCCGCTCCTCTGTTGCCCCGAGGCCTCTGGACCTCTAAATCCGGCCCTGGAGCACGCCTTTTCCTCCAAGAGTTGCCATATCTTGTAATCTAACGGACTCAAATCTGGACTGGAGGAGGGCCAGTCTTCGTGCCGGATGAAGTCGATTTCACGCGCCGCCAGCCAGTCTTGTGTGCTCTTCACTCTATGAGCTGGCGCCGAATCTTGTTGGAATACCCAGTGCCTGTTATTGAACATGGTATGAGAAACAGGTTCCACAAGGTTCGTCAGGACTGTATTTTGATACACAACTGCATTCGTTTTTACACCTTTCTCACAAAAATGTACCTTTGTTAAGCCCCAATAAGAAACCCAACCATACCATGAGCGAGGATGGAAAATGACCTCGTTGGACACGCGGAATACTGTTGCTCGCTTCTTCACTACTGTGTGCGTACACCTTATCATTTAGTTTGTTGTAGCTCTCTTCTACGGTATTTTTTTTTTCATACGAAAAAAGAATTTCCCTATATTTTTTTCCTGCGTACCGCTTCAATACAGCGCGGCATCTCTTCAGTCTCAGGTCCATTAGACGAGCATTCAAACCTGTTTTTCTTCGATATGCACGAAGCCCTAGGTCTTCATTTAACACCCTTTTCACCCTGGTTCTGCTTAACCCCATCTGAAGGGCCAACAGTTTCTGCTTCTTCACAGCTTTTATCACTGCTGGAGTCCTAATAGACCGAAGGCGACCTCTTCTTGACCTGTTATTTACACTAGAGTCTTCATTGTATCGTTTGATGGTACGACAAACGAATCTTTTGGTTATATTCAAATTATTCAGTATGTCAATAAAATTTTGAATTGGCGCGTAACTGCAACGACACGGTCTTCTTTAAGCGTCCACTCCATATTTAAAAATGAGTGAAATTCTAAAAAGTATACATTTTTATTTTCATGAACAATTCGAAATTCGAATGCAATAAACTTTTTTGTGACTCGCATTTGAAAAGAAAAGTTTTTACTGTGTGACAGTACTTAGGACCTGACTGTGTAAAATATACAGGGCGTCCCACGGCTACCTCACACGGAGGGAAAGTATATTAAATATTGAAGTTAGGATATTTTACTGAAAGAAGACATCCTTTTATTTTTAATAATAACTAGAACTACATTCACAGATTTTTAAAAAATCGCCTGCTATGACTGGGAATCAAACTCGTGAAATTTCGAAAAAAAATGCAACAAATTTTATGATAACTATCGAAAGGGTTAATCATAAAGTTTTATTTGCTCAATAACATAGC